TGTTTCAGTAATGTTTAATATGTTTCGTAATATTCAACTTGATGGTTAGTCTTAGAATGAAATAGGGATATTTTCAGATCAGTTGTATCTTAAATTTATTAGACTAACAAAATAAATGGAGCTGCTGTCCACGTTTTTGAAGACAAGAACTTGATTGTGGAAACACTCCTTAAACGCTAACCCAGTTCTCTTGACTGTTTTTAGTGGCATAAGAAGGGGCTGGCCTTACTATTCTGCATATTGCAGTTCTTGTCAATGACCTGGTAAGTCGTCTCCCGTGCTGGCTAAGACTTCAGACTGCCTGAGAGGTGGGTGGGCAGGTGTCAGGTGGGTCCTGTGGCACCTCCAGCGTGGTTCCAGGCTGCCTCCGGGTGCCTGACGCTGGGGCGAACAGCGGAGGGTGGGTGCCTGCTCCCGTGGCGACATGGCATGGCTCTCTGTGAAGAGCTGATGGACCGGCAGGTGGTGCCGTACGGGTCCGTGGAAGCAAGGCCAAGTCACAGGACGGGCCCGAGAAGGACGAGTCTGCCAGGCACTGTGCGCCCGGCCGTGGGGTGATGGGGGGCTGGTTGTGATGCCGGCTCTGTGGCCGTGCTCCGAGCCGGCAGTGACGCCGTACTTGGGTCCTGCCTCCCGCTGTGTTCTGGGTGCCGAGCAGGGCTGTTCCTCTCCTTACGCCCGCGTGCAGGGCTGCGAGCGTTAGTCGGATGCCTGGCTGTGCCCGCTGGCTCCCTGCCCACCTCCAGGTCAGACGGGAGGGTGTCGGTCCTTTCTTTTCAGAGCCAGCTGTGTCTCCTCTTTGACGTTGCCCACTCGGGGCCACTGGTTCTGTTGGCCCTTTTCCTCCCTCTCTGCTGATGTAATAACAGCAAATGATAAATGTGGTTCTCTGTGTGCTCCAAATTAAGTACATGAGGTTAGCTTTTCCACTGATGTGGAAAAATTGAAATTGAATCTCGTGGTTATCTTCTAATATTTTGCCAATCCATACTTAATAGCTGATCTATTCCTGAATGAGAATACAATTTATTTTCAGTTGTTTTGCCTCTATTAACAAAAATAAGTTTAAAGGTAACTGGAGAAGTTCAACCTTTAGCACGCATCAACCCTGGAGGGTTGGTAGGACACAGACGGTTAACTTGGCCTCTGATTGGGAATCCGAGCTGAGCCTAAGCTCCCGGGCAGTGCTGCTCTGCCGCCGGGTTCTGGGGTGCTCTGCTCTGCCGCTGGGTTCTGGGGTACACTGCTGCTGGGTTCTGGGGCACACTGCTCTGCTGGGTTCTGGGGTACACTGCTCTGCTGGGTTCTGGGGTACACTGCTGCTGGGTTCTGGGGTGCACTGCCCTGCCGTTGGGTTCTGGGGTGCACTGCTCTGCCGCTGGGTTCTGGGGTACACTGCTGCTGGGTTCTGGGGCACACTGCTCTGCTGGGTTCTGGGGTACACTGCTCTGCTGGGTTCTGGGGTGCACTGCTCTGCCGCTGGGTTCTGGGGTGCACTGCTCTGCCGCTGGGTTCTGGGGTACACTGCTGCTGGGTTCTGGGGTGCACTGCTCTGCCGCTGGGTTCTGGGGTGCTGTGGGTTCTGGGGTGCACTGCTCTGCCATTGGGTTCTGGGGTACACTGCTCTGCCACTGGGTTCTGGGGTGCACTGCTGCTGGGTTCTGGGGTGCAGTGCTCTGCTGTTGGGTGTAGCCCCTTGGTTGAAAGAAAATCATTTAGATGAGATTTCAACGTGCTTGGTTTTTTCTTGCAGGTACAGTCTGTCGTACATCCCATATGCAAGGTGAGCTTGTTTAAATTTCATTTTATTTCTGGCCCTTTAATTGCCTTTACACAAATTTAGGAATTTAAATTATTTTTACATTAAAGATTGTTTTAAAGACTTTGCATGGTTGACTTTGACTTCCTTCCTGCTGAGATGGGTGGACGTCTGCAGTGGGTGGCAGGTGTGGGCTCTGAGGGGTGGACGTCTGCAGTGAGAGTGACCCAGGTGTGGGCTCTGAGGGGTGGACGTCTGCAGTGGGTGGCAGGTGTGGACACAGGTGGGTGGACGTCTGCAGTGGGTGGCAGGTGTGGACACAGGTGGGTGGACGTCTGCAGTGGGTGGCAGGTGTGGACACAGGTGGGTGGACGTCTGCAGTGGGTGGCAGGTGTGGACACAGGTGGGTGGACATCTGCAGTGGGTGGCAGGTGTGAGCTCTGAGGGGTGGACGTCTGCAGTGAGAGTGACCCAGGTGTGGGCTCTGAGGGGTGGACGTCTGCAGTGAGAGTGACCCAGGTGTGGGCTCTGAGGGGTGGACGTCTGCAGTGGGTGGCAGGTGTGGGCTCTGAGGGGTGGACGTCTGCAGTGGGTGGCAGGTGTGGGCTCTGAGGGGTGGACGTCTGCAGTGAGAGTGACCCAGGTGTGGGCTCTGAGGGGTGGACGTCTGCAGTGGGTGGCAGGTGTGGGCTCTGAGGGGTGGACGTCTGCAGTGAGAGTGACCCAGGTGTGGGCTCTGAGGGGTGGACGTCTACAGTGAGTGGCCAGGTATAGATGCAGGTGGGTGGACGTCTGCAGTGGGTGGCAGGTGTGGGCTCTGAGGGGGTGGAGGTCTGCAGTGAGAGTGACCCAGGTGTGGACACAGGTGGGTGGACGTCTGCAGTGGGTGGCAGGTGTGGGCTCTGAGGGGATGGACGTCTGCAGTGGGTGGCAGGTGTGGGCTCTGAGGGGGTGGACACAGGTGGGTGGACGTCTGCAGTGGGTGGCAGGTGTGGGCTCTGGGGGGTGGACGTCTGCAGTGGGTGGCAGGTGTGGACACAGGTGGGTGGACGTCTGCAGTGAGTGGCAGGTGTGGGCTCTGAGGGGTGGACACAGGTGGGTGGACGTCTGCAGTGGGTGGCAGGGGTGGGCTCTGGGGGGTGGACGTCTGCAGTGGGTGGCAGGGGTGGGCTCTGAGCCTGCACGGGTGTCTCCTCTTGAATTCTGGCTGCTGGGGAGTTGCAGCAGGAGATGGCAGACTCTGCACGGCTGTAATGGGCACTAGCTAGATGCAGGCTTCTTTAAACAGTTTCTGCTCTTGGAAGTAGCTTAGTGACGCTCTCAGGTGAGATGCTTGCCTGTTCATCCAGAGACACAGTGTAGGCTGTGTGTTCAGCGGTGACTGCCGTTTTCTTACATCTGTGGAAGAGCAAACAACACTCAGTCCACCTTGAAAACTGGTAGATGCAGAGAGGCTGCCGGTGAGGCCCCGGTGCTGCTCTGTGGCGTCCGTCAGGTGTGCGCCTCCTGTCTGGAGAAGGAGACTGTAGACACGCTGTGGGGGTTGCGTTTCGAGTGGGTGGTTCTTGATGAGCTTAGAAGGAGACACGCAGAGTGTGCTGCACGTGAGAGCTGGCCAGGTCAGGCGGGCCCCGGAGGCCAGGGCAGGGCAGGCGTGGCTCGGCTCTGGAGCTGCCCCCGCGTCCCAGAGGCCGGGGTCCTGCGATGCGGGGCAGGAGGGGCAGGAGGGCAGGAGCCGCCGAGTCTCAGGTTGTGTTAGTGGATTTATAACAGTCTCCTTCATGCGTAGGGTATTAGTGGTAGTTCAGACACCTAGTTACAGAAGCACATGAATTCTCAGGGTGCTTGTGTAAGTTGTTTGCTTTTAAAGTGCTATTTAGATTGATTTCTCGGTGTTAAGGCCAGCTTGTGTGTGGATACGGTTTCCTAGGATGGGTGCAGGTTCAGAAGGCAATGCAGTGTTGCCAGACCTCAGGTCCCGGTTGCGGGCGAAACCCGGCAGAGTTTTCACGACTGGAAACGTGGGGGGACCCTGCGTCCTGGGCAGGGGCGGTGCGTGGGGGGACCCTGCGTCCTGGGCGGGGGCGGTGCGTGGGGGGACCCTGCGTCCTGGGCGGGGGCGGTGCGTGGGGGGACCCTGCGTCCTGGGCGGGAGGCGGTGCATGGGGGGACCCTGCGTCCTGGGCCGGGGCGGTGCGTGGGGGGACCCTGCGTCCTGGGCGGGGGCGGTGCGTGGGGGGACCCTGCGTCCTGGGCGGGGGCGGTGCGTGGGGGGACCCTGCGTCCTGGGCGGGGGCGGTGCGTGGGGGGACCCTGCGTCCTGGGCGGGGGCGGTGCGTGGGGGGACCCTGCGTCCTGGGGCGGGAGGCGGTGCGTGGGGGGACCCTGCGTCCTGGGCGGGGGCGGTGCGTGGGGGGACCCTGCGTCCTGGGCGGGGGCGGTGCGTGGGGGGACCCTGCGTCCTGGGCGGGAGGCGGTGCGTGGGGGGACCCTGCGTCCTGGGCGGGGGCGGTGCGTGGGGGGACCCTGCGTCCTGGGCGGGGGCGGTGCGTGGGGGGACCCTGCGTCCTGGGCGGGGGCGGCGCTGTGCGGGCTGCACTGTGCTCCTGAGGACTGAATGCTTGCCTCCCTCCCGTCTGCCCTCAGGGACGCAGTCATCAAATGCTGCTCTTCTCTCCTGAGTTGAGACCCCGAGCTGGGGAAGGAGCGCGAGTGCTGAGCCGCGGTGCCGTGAGGTTTGCCCGGTGGAGAGCACTCCAGGCCGTGACGGCCGCAGCCCGCCCGCCCGGTTTCCTGGTAAAACGACCTGTTTGATTAAACTGTTAAATGCCTGTAGCCGTAGGTTCCTGTGTCTCAGTGTGCTCTTCCAGAGATAAGGAGGTGTGATCATGGGAGTCGTGACTCCCTGCGGCCTCTGAGACTGAACGTGGGAAGCGTCCACCCGTGTGCCAGAACGTTCGGCTTCGTTGGCTTTTTTAAATGTCCGCCTGTTTTTTAAACTTTAAATGTGAACTTTTTACTTTGAGGCTAAAAATTGCTTATTACGTGTAATAGAAAGTAATATATAAATGTTTATATTTTGAAATAAATTTACCCTTGGAAAATAGCATTTTCTGGATCAAATGTGCAACACTTGAAATGATTGATTTCAGTAAAACAGGTCAGGCACAGGGCAGCTTTTCTGTAGAAAACCAGGTGAGGGGCTGTGTCCCCACGCCACTGGGCAGACGTGAACGGTCGCGGGGCTGTGCAAGTCCAGGAGGAGGGCGGAGAAGTGGCCCTCGTGGCCCGGGGCGGCGGGGGAGGGGCGGCTGCTTTTGCCCCAGGGCTGGAGGTGGGGTCACTGGCCAGAGCCCTGGGAGGGCAGTGTGGTAGGGCCGGGCCTTGGAGGAGAGAGCCCAGTAACCCCCGCTGTACCCCCCCCCCCCCCCGCCCCTCAGCTGGTCAGTTGCTGGCGGGTGTGTACGGTCAAGGGTGGCCAGGCAGACGCCAGCGTGGCGGTGGTGTGGGAGGCAGGGCAGCCTGGGCGGTGGCGGAGTGACTGCTCGCAGTCAGCCTGCTGCGCGAGTGCCGGGACAGTGTTGTGCAGGGAACAGTGGGGAGGTGGGCAGAGGTGCGAGCCCCTGCAAGGCAGGAGGCGATGGCCGGGCGTTGTAGCTAATTCAGGCGGACGTCGCCAAGGAGGGCAGTGGGGGCGTGGCAGGAGAGGAGGCCGGGGCAGCCCCGAAGGACGTCGGCAGTCAGAGGCACGCCTCTGCAGGTCACCCCTGCCCGGCCCGGCGACCCCCAGGACGCTGGCTGAGTGCAGACGGCCAGCTCGGGGCCAGGCCGCGCGTGCACCGCTGAGGAGCAGCAGTGGTAGTAAACACGGAGGAGACCCTGGTTCTCAGGACAGACAGGGCAGAGGAAGGCTGGGCATGCGCCCTCCAGGCACCTGGCCCGTCCACGTCCGCCTGCTCACAGCCCCACGGCCTGGGCAAGGAGTCCTGGTTTGTGGACACCCACGGTCCACGCCGCCTGCGGTAGCACAGGGCGCGCAGAGGCCTGCGTGTCGCCAGGACTGCCCCTGCGGCGTGCTCTCCCCGTGGAGACCTGCCCCATCCAGGTGGTGTTGGCTTGCCCTGGGTCCTGATTTGCTGAGGGTTTGATCTGACTGAAGAAAGGGGCCCTCTTCCCTCTGGAAGTCAGCAGGAGAGGACAGGTCAGCTGGAACATCGTGACTCAAGCAGCAGCTGACCCCTGCAGGGGCAGTGACGCGCGGTGAGCAGAGCCTGCAGGCTGTCTAAAAGGAGCCGGCCTCCCCAGACGGAAGACGAGTCGGAGGCCTCCACGGGGGTTAGTGCACCGGAAGTGGCACCTGGAGGCGCCTGGCTGTGCGCTGGGCACGCAGGAGGTCCCCAGGGGCCTGTGGAGCAGCTTTGCGTGAAGACGCCCCCCATCGGGTGGGGCGTGGCCTTGGGGCGCAGAAGGGGCTGTTCCTGCACCGAGGGGCGAGGAGACACCCGCCTGCCTGTGTGGCGCTCAGGCTTCCGTGATGGGTCGGCGGATGGCCTCAGGCCTAGCCAGGATGTCCGGGACCGTGGGGGCGGGGGTAGGAAGGACTAGCGATGCGTGAGCGGGGACTGCGCAGGCGGGGAGCTGTGCTCTTGGAAATGTGATGCTTGCCGGAGCCGCCCGTGCCCAGGTCCCCGGGGCCTGCAGGTTCGGAGTTCAAGTGCAGATTCAGTGGAGTTTGCTCGTTTCCTTCCCTGGGAGGGGAGCAGAGGCCGCGGACGGCCGGGGAGCCTGGGCGTAGGGGCAGGAGGCGGGCTCCCTCGGGAGTAGCCCATTTCAGCCTGGAAGTCAGCCCAGAGACCCCCACGAGACCCCTGCACAGCTGTGGGGATGGCGCCCCAGGGAGGGCCCTGCCGCTTCCGAGCGTGGCTGCAGGTCCTGGCCGCCGTGGTGCGTGGTACGCCCTGCGCTGGCTGTCTTCCGTGTGCCACAGCGGCCCACCGCCTGCCCTGTCTCCCAGCTGCTCCTGCGGCTGGCCCATAGCAGGGCAGGTTCACTCCTGTCACCACAACCTGACAGCACAGCTGCACTCTGGGTGTGTTCCTGGGATTGTCTGGTGGCTTCAGGGGCGGGCTGCTTGGACCCAGGAGGCGGCCCAGCTAGGACTGCCTCCGCCGACCCCTGTCCTAAGGGCCTGGGTGTCCCTCCACCGCAGCTCCAGCAAGTGCCCTACCCCGTGAGCCTCCGTGTGCTCATCTGAGTCAAGACTTAAGACTGAAGTTGGGTTGGTGATGACTCTGGGACCGCTGGGAAGAGTAAGCGGTGGACGGTGCCCACCCAGTACGTGGCCATCAGTGCATGGGCTACTGAAGAGGGGGCGTGGTGTGAGGTGGCTGCAGCCCGAGGCTCCGTGGATGTCCTCGGGTCACACCCGGGTGCCCCTAGAGTGCGCCCCACGCATAGCTGAGGGCCTGGGCAGCAGGGGTGGCGCGGGCAGCTGGGACAGGGCGGGCAGCAGGGGCAGGGCGGGCTGCCCAGCAGGGAGAGCAGCCGTGCTGACAGGGCCTCGTGGCAGCTTCTAATCCCAGCGGAGTCGGTGTCAGGAACTGGGCCCTGCCCTGCGTACGGCGGTGACCGCAGGTGACCTGCGGGCAAGGGTCTCGGGCAGGCGAGGGCACAGTGATGGTCAGGCTTGCACACTGCCTCCCTTTGTATCCCCAGGCCGAGGGGACCCAGAGAACGGCCTTTGTCCCGCTCTGCTCTTCCAACACCATTTACGCCATCTCTGGAAGTGCAGACCTAGCCGGGAGGATGTTTGCACACTCACTTCAGTTACTGTGCGTGTACCGAGCCCCGTGGAAGCTGCGGTTGAGTTTGTAGTGGCTCCGTGGGAAACACCCGGTCCGCGTGTTGGTTCCTGGGGTGGGCCTGCTCCAGGGCAGTGGAGCCCCTGCCACCACCTCGTGCTCCCAGTGTGCCCACGCCCAGTGCTGGCTTTGAACAACTTCAACCTAGATGCTTTTCCTGGGGGGCGTGGGAGCACGCTGGGGAAGTGTCTGGTGTTTGCATTTAACGCGTCGCACAGTGAACCGCAGCCGCCGAGGATGAGCGCGCTGACAGGGACCTGCTGCGTGGAGGCAGCCCTCGGTCACCGTGGAGGACGAGGCTCAGGGCTTGAGCGCCACCCGTGCCGCCGCGAGCCGTCTCTGGACACACCTAGGTTTGCCCCTGGTAACCAGCGCCACCACCTGAGTGCATGACTACGGCCGCCGCGCCAGGCCTGGCAGTGGTGGAGGCTGGCTTTCTCCTGGCTGACCCCAGCTCTTGGCGGCTTCGCTTCTCTCCAGGTTGTTAGGAGGAGGAAGCAAATGCTACGTTTTGCTGTCAGAGCGGAGAGCTCACTACATCAGCTGGGACTAGGGTCAGCCTTGGGGGCGGGCACGTTCACCGGGAGACACAGCCGAGGAGGCGCGCCTGGGCCGTTCCCGCGAGTACGCCGAGCCTGCCAGTGCTTTTCCCACCGTGACGGCCAGGACTGAACTGAGTGGTGTGGAGGGCAGCCTTCCATGGCCCTCTGGCCCCGCCTCTCATTTGCTGTAGAACACACTGTTCTTTTCCCATTAAACATACATTAGTAGCTGGTGCTGCGGCTCACTAGGCTAATCCTCCGCCTTACAGCGCTGGCACACCGGGTTCTAGTCCCGGTCAGGGCACCAGATTCTGTCCCGGTTGCCCCTCTTCCAGGCCAGCTCTCTGCTGTGGCCAGGGAGTGCAGTGGAGGATGGCCCAAGTGCTTGGGCCCTGCACCCTATGGGAGACCAGGAGAAGCACCTGGCTTCTGGCTTTGGATCAGCACGGTGGCCATTGGAGGGTGAACCAACGGCAAAGGAAGACCTTTCTCTCTGTCTCTCTCTCTCTCACTGTCCACTCTGCCTGTCAAAAAAAAAAAAAAATTTAGTGAGGTTTGCTAACGTCAGTAGGTCAGGCCCACAAGCCCAAGCTCTTTGGGGCCCTTGGTAATTAAGAGCTGGAGGACTGCAGAGTACAGAAAGACGCCTGGGCCTCGAGGGACGTGTGCTCCCAGCCTCTGCCTGCAGGGGGCGCCCTTGGCCAGGGGCCAGTTGTGTGCCGATTGGTTCCGCCTTGGTTTCTTACCTGTGAAATGCGTTCCTCCTACTTCTGTCACAGGCTCAGGAGCGGAAGTGGAAGAACCCGGATAGAATGGATGATTTCATGCGCGTAGGCACTGCCTGTTGTTATCTGAGTGGCGAGGAGGAAGACTTCAGCATCTAGGATGCCCCGACTGTTCTTCCGTCCCAAGGCCGTTCATAGAACAGACCGTGTTAGAAGAAAGGGAGGCGGTTCAAAGCGATTGACAAGTTCCTACTTCTAAATAGTGGGATTTCTAAAAGCTAGTGTTAGTTTTTCCTGTTTTAAAATTCAGGTCTAGTTTTGGTTCCAGACATTTGACTGCCTACTGCTGCATCGAGTAAATTATGTAAATTACGTCAGGCAAAGCACAGACGTCAGGGTGGGCGTCTGCTACAGCGTTTCCGACGCCTCCGCGGACGCCTGGGCCTGAGCGCCAGTGCCAGCTCCGAGCCCAGCTTCCCTGGCACTGACGTGGGAGACCTGGATGGAGCCGCGGCCTCCTGGCCTTGGCCCTGCCCGGCCTGGCCCTGGTTCTACAGGCGTTTGGGGAGTGACCCAGCCGGTGGAAAGATCTCTCACTGTTTCTTTCTTGGTCTCTTTCAGACACACAAAAATAAATTTAAAATCCATGCACGGAAATGGAGCACAGCAGATGGTGAATGGGAATAATTAGGGAGGCAGTGTGTGGCCTGTTTACGGCTTGAGTGTCTGAATGAATGAACTAAGGATAACAGGCCTTAGCAGAGCCGACCAAGAGACTGAGAAAATAAACGTCGTAGAGCTGTGGCTCCTGGTGTAGGTGACCACGGGTGACTCTGCTCCCTGGTGACCCCGTGAGAACATGGGCAGCAGACACGTGGGGGGGCCGGCGCCGTGGCTCACTTGGTTAATCCTCCGCCTGCGGCGCCGGCATCCCATATGGGTGCTGCGTTCTAGTCCCGGTTGCCCCTCTTCCAGGCCAGCTCTCTGCTGTGACCAGGGAGTACAGTGGAGGATGGCCCAGGTGCTTGGGCCCTGCACCCCATGGGAGACCAGGAGAAGCACCTGGCTCCTGGCTTCGGATCGGCGCAGTGCCGGCCATAGTGGCCATTGGAGGGTGAACCAACAGAAGGAAGACCTTTCTCTCTGTCTCTGTCTCTCTCTCACTGTCTAACTCTGCCTGTCAAAAAAATAAAAAATAAAAAAGTAAAAAAAAAAGTTCATGGACAATAAGGCACTATGGGAAAACGGCCTGGGTTTCTCTTTGCACGAAGATACGCCTACCCTTAGTTCCACTTCTGCAGACGCCGGAGCGCCACGTCCGTGCCTGCGTGAGGGTGCATTCAGGGGGGACCCGGGCACTCGGTCCAGCGGGATCGCAGCCACGGCCCCTCCGGGCAGAGCAGATCACAGGACTTGGACTGGGACGCCGCCCTCTCCCTCTCGTTGGGCCTGGATGTCATTTTCCTGCTATTTTATTTTAGTGAGGGACACATTCCCCGTGCAGTGTCTTCACTGTTAGAATGGAAAGTCTTGACTGACACAACCTTGGCAGAACAATGGCGTGTTACTGTAATATTTGGAATTCGAAAGTCAAATTTAATTTGAAGATTAAATGCCGCAAGTAGGAGGTGCGGACAGTTCTAAAGGCCCGTGCTTGGGTGTGCTCTCTCACCTCTCGGGTCAGCCTACTGGACGGCGCATCTAGTGACCTCATGAGGGACAGGAGCCATGCGTTCCACAGGTCACCTTCCGTAACAGACGGACCCAGAACTGTGAGCTGACCTCAGCACGCATGTTCAGTGTAGACGCTGTCACCGCGTGTTCCCAGGATGCCGTGCAGCGCCACGTCAGTTGTAAGTGAATTGCCTCTTCGTTGCTTTCCAGCCCCCCCCCCCCCCCCGAAACTTAGCTTCTCTTAGTGGCCTTCTCGCTGGGGATCGTCACAGCAGTAAAAGCCAACCAGAGAGAAGGTGTAATAGCCACGGCGCCAGGCCCGGAGGACCAGTGACAGACACCCACCCACTTCCCAGGCCTCACCCCGAGGTGCATGCACCTGCTCGGGCTCCTGGCCGTCACTGTGCTGACTGTGTGAGGTCCTGCTCACCCCCGAGGCACCCCTGCTCGGGCTCCTGGCCGTCACTGTGCTAACTGCGTGAGGTCCCGCTCACCCCCGAGGCACCCCGCTCGGGCTCCTGGCCGTCACTGTGCTAACTGTGTGAGGTCCTGCTCACCCCCGAGGCACCCCTTCTCGGGCTCCTGACCGTCACTGTGCTAACTGTGAGGTCCCGCTCACCCCCCTGAGGCACCCCTGCTCGGGCTCCTGGCCGTCACTGTGCTAACTGTGTGAGGTCCCGCTCACCCCCCTGAGGCACCCCTGCTCGGGCTCCTGACCGTCACTGTGCTAACTGTGAGGTCCCGCTCACCCCCCTGACGCACCCCTGCTCGGGCTCCTGGCCGTCACTGTGCTAACTGTGTGAGGTCCTGCTCACCCCCGAGGCACCCCGCTCGGGCTCCTGGCCGTCACTGTGCTGTGTGAGGTCCTGCTCACCCCTCAAGGCACCCCTGCTCGGGCTCCTGGCCGTCACTGTGCTGTGTGAGTTCCTGCTCACCCCCCTGAGGCACCCCTGCTCGGGCTCCTGACCGTCACTGTGCTGACTGTGTGAGTTCCTGCTCACCCCCGAGGCACCCCTGCTCGGGCTCCTGGCCGTCACTGTGCTAACTGTGTGAGGTCCTGTTCACCCCCCTGAGGCACCCCTGCTCGGGCTCCTGGCCATCACTGTGCTGCGTGAGGTCCTGCTCACCCCCGAGGCACCCCTGCTCGGGCTCCTGGCCGTCACTGTGCTAACTGTGTGAGGTCCCACTCACCCCCCTGAGGCACCCCTGCTCGGGCTCCTGGCCGTCACTGTGCTAACTGCGTGAGGTCCCGCTCACCCCCCTGAGGCACCCCTGCTCGGGCTCCTGGCCATCACTGTGCTGTGTGAGTTCCTGCTCACCCCTGAGGCACCCCTGCTCGGGCTCCTGGCCGTCACTGTGCTGTGTGAGGTCCTGCTCACCCCTCAAGGCACCCCTGCTCGGGCTCCTGGCCGTCACTGTGCTGTGTGAGTTCCTGCTCACCCCCCTGAGGCACCCCTGCTCGGGCTCCTGGCCGTCACTGTGCTGTGTGAGGTCCTGCTCACCCCTCAAGGCACCCCTGCTCGGGCTCCTGGCCGTCACTGTGCTGTGTGAGTTCCTGCTCACCCCCCTGAGGCACCCCTGCTCGGGCTCTTGACCGTCACTGTGCTGACTGTGAGTTCCTGCTCACCCCTGAGGCACCCCTGCTCGGGCTCCTGGCCGTCACTGTGCTAACTGTGTGAGGTCCTGCTCACCCCCCTGAGGCACCCCTGCTCGGGCTCCTGGCCATCACTGTGCTGGGTGAGGTCCTGCTCACCCCCGAGGCACCCCTGCTCGGGCTCCTGGCCGTCACTGTGCTAACTGTGTGAGGTCCTGCTCACCCCCGAGGCACCCCTGCTCGGGCTCCTGGCCGTCACTGTGCTAACTGCGTGAGGTCCCGCTCACCCCCCTGAGGCACCCCTGCTTGGGCTCCTGGCCGTCACTGTGCTGTGTGAGGTCCTGCTCACCCCCGAGGCACCCCTGCTCAGGCTCCTGGCCGTGACTGTGCTAACTGTGAGGTCCCGCTCACCCCCCAAGGCACCCCTGCTCGGGCTCCTGACCGTCACTGTGCTAACTGTGTGAGTTCCTGCTCACCCCCCTGAGGCACCCCTGCTTGGGCTCCTGGCCGTCACTGTGCTGTGTGAGGTCCTGCTCACCCCCCTGAGGCACCCCTGCTCGGGCTCCTGGCCGTCACTGTGCTGTGTGAGTTCCTGCTCACCCCCCTGAGGCACCCCTGCTCGGGCTCCTGGCCGTCACTGTGCTGTGAAGTCCTGCTCACCCCCCTGAGGCACCCCTGCTCGGGCTCCTGGCCGTCACTGTGCTGTGAAGTGCTGCTCACCCCCCGAGGCGCACGCACCTGCTCTGGCGGCCCGGAGGGAGCTGGCAGCACCCAGCGTTTACTTTGCTGTTTCTGAAGGGGCACACGGCTCCGCCAGCTGCAGGCTGCTGGGCTGGGCAGATGGAGGGGTCCAGTTCCTTTGCCCGGCAGTCGTGTGCCCTGCTCTGATCCACTCTTCTTGGCTTAAAAATGCCCGGTCACTAGGGGTGGCAGCGGGGCCCTCCATCCGGTCACCTCTGCCAGCGACCCCCCTCCCCTCCTGAAACTCCTGGGTTTGGGGCCTCTCCCATCCCCTGGGAGCTGTCTGGTGGGCAGGAGCCAGCCTCTGGAAGCCCCATTTCCCTGAGCTGTCAGTCACCCTCAGTCCCCACCATCCTTACTGTGAAGCCCCCTGCCGTGAAGAAGCGGGAGTGGGGCAGACCCCGCATGGGCGCCAGATCTGCGAGACTCCACGTGGACGGCCGTATCCAGCGGTTGTCTTCCTCCACGGTCTGTCCCTCCCGTTGCGCCCACAGAGTTGGTTCTGGTCGAGTCCTGCCTCCACCCCACCCCTGCAGACACACCCACCCCACCCCACCCCACCCCTGCAGACACACCCACTCTAGGACCTCCGCTTCAAACGTGAACAGCCTGGGCCTGGCCGGAGCCCGCAGATGGCTGTGGGCTGTGGGCTGCGGGCTGGAGCTGCACCTGCAGGGTTGAGTGTGGCTGTGCAGGCGGTGAGAATTCCCTGCGCTCCAGCCGCCTCGTCGGCCCGGACTGGTAGCGCCCAGTTCCCTTGGGGCAGGGAAGACGTCCCGCCAGGACTGCTGGCACGGGCCGCGCTCACGTTAGCGCCCCACCTCTGATCTCCAGCTTTCTCTGTGATGCCAGAATGGTGCCAGCGGGGTCGCCCACGTGTCAGAGGCCCTGGGGCGGGCCACTCCAGCTGCTCCCCGGCCGACACCAACCCCCTGCCATGGGCGGGCCAGCTGGGGGAGCCCTGGGACGCCGGGCCCCGAGCTCGGGCACTCGGCCCCCTGCTTCCAGCGCTTGGCTGTGACACCGCGGGCGCAGCCCCGGACCTGGCAGGCCCGCGTCCCCGGACAGCGCCGGCTCCTCCTCCCGCCGCCCGGCCCGGCGCAGCGCGGCGCGGTGTGAACCGGGCGGCGCCGGCACCCGCGCGCCGTCCGCGGCTGCTGGCCGTGCCCGCGGGGTCCGGCCCGGGCGGCGCCCAGACAACGGGCGCCCCCAGCTCCGGGAGGAGGGGAGGGGCGGGGACTTGGGCGCGGGCATGTGAAGAGGCCAGAGGCGCGGCGGCTGCACGCAGGTGGGTGTGCGGGGGAGCGCGGGGCCGACCCCCGCGCCAGGTGGGCAGGGCCGCGCGCGGCGGCTCAGACCCGCCCTCTTCTTGCAGGCCCCTGACGACCCGCCCGCCCGGCCGCGCCATGCCCTTCCCGCCCAGGCCGCCGCCGCCACCGCCAGCCCCGGCCGCGGGGGGCGCCGCCGCGCGCCTGCCGCCCCGGAGGCCCTGCGCGCCCGCGCCCGCGCCCCCGCCCGCGCCGCCCCTGGCCGCCGCGGAGAAGAAGAGGCGGCCCCCCGAGCGGCCCGCGGCGCTGCTCTCCAGCTCCTGGCCCTCGGCCACCCTGAAGAAGCCGCCGGCCCGGCGCGGCCCCGGCCCCGGCCCGAGCAGGACGCAGCCGCCCGCCCCTCCGCGCGCCCCGCCCCAGGCCTCGCCCGGACGCGCAGGGGCCCCGGCCACGTGCGCCACGCCCCGGCCGGCCGGCACCGGCCCGAACGCGGCGGCCGGCGCGGGTCCCGGGCCCGACGACGCCGTGCGCTTCTCGCTGAGCCTCACGCCGGAGGCCATCCTGGTCATCCAGAGGCGCCACCTGGAGAAGCAGCTGCTGGCGCGGCCCCGCCGGTCCTTCCCCTCGCCGCTGGCCACCGGCCCCGGCCCGCGGAGGGGCGGCCCCGCCGCGCCCCCGGCCGCGGGCCTCGCCTGCCGCCCGCTGCCCCGCGCGCCGCTGCTGCCCGGCGGCCTGCGCCCGGTGCTGCAGGTGTCGCTGCTCAACGAGCGGCACAAGTACGACGACGTGGAGTACGAGGAGGAGGCCGAGGCCCCGGACGAGGGCGTGGTGCGCAAGTGCACCGAGTGGCTGCGCGGCGTGGAGTCGGCTGCCGCCGGGCGGGGCCGCGCCGCGCACCTGGACGCCCCGCAGCGGCTGAGCACACTGTGAGCCCTGCGGGCCGCGGGCCCGCCCACCGCTGCTTCCAGGACTCGGGGGCGCGGGCGGGAGACCCACAGCCGCCTGTGATGGCATCCCCGTCTCCTGGACACGGGTGAGCACCGCGGGCCCGCGAGGGACACAGCCTCCCGCGGCCCACCTGCTGCCGCCTTGGTCTCGGCGAGAAGCCCCCACTGTGCACCCTTCCGCCGCCTCTGGACTCCCGGAGGTGCCCTTACCGCGAAAGTGCCTCGGCCATGTGCCCAGGGGCGCGCCCCGGGCTGCATCGCTGTCGCCAGGGAGGGGGCGCCTACTGGACTGCGGGGACGTGGTGCTACCTGTGTGACTGTGTTGTCTCCCGGCTCAACAATGCTGGATGTTCTGAAAATCGAAGCTTTGTATTCTAATCTCCAGTCTCGGAAGCGAGCGCGAAGTTGCCACCTGGAGCCAGGCGCCTGGTGAAGAGGCTGCAGGTGACATCACCGACCCTGTGCTCCGTGCACGCCCACGCACAGGTGCACCCACGTGGTCACGCGCACGGAGATGCACCTGCATGCCCCCAGCCACAGGTGCCTGCGCTGGGTCACACAGGTGTCTGCTGGATGACCTCTTTCTTTGAAGTGCTCACAAAGTATCTTTTGTGCTAGGAAAGGAAGCAGCAAGCACGTGGTGGGGGGGGGGGGCAGAAATGTGCGACTCCCTGGGCAGCACGGAATGTTCTGGACTTTGCCCGGGGAGCAGGAGGCCTCTGGGTGGGGGAGGCTGGCTGGTTTTAGCCCTTTGGGTCTCTCTGGAGCTCAGAGGCTCGCTGGCTCTGTGCAGTTGTGTGTGCCGGTTTGAAATGCTGTGTTCTCTGCCTGGTCCCCGGCTGGCTGCAGGCCCCCGGGGAGGAGCCGCCTTGCACCTGGGTCTGCTTGATTCCAGGCATGAGAAGGAGGTGGGGTGGGCGGCTCAGGCTGAGCCCCAGGAGTCGTGGATTACCTCAGCTTCTGACTTGCTTCCCGAAAGCCACCCCGTGTAGTGTTCATCCGTAGACCCTGGCGTGTCTCGTCTTAACTTTACATGGAAGCCTTACATTTTTAACAAGTTTTCTACTTCTCTCGTGGAGGTTTCTCCCCCAACCCGTCTCGGTGTAAGCACGGTTTAGTTAGCTGTGAAGTGTCTCAGTTTTGGGGGGCGCTGCCTCAGCAGCCCGACCCCCAGCCTTGCCAGTAATTTCTGTTTTGTGGCCCCTATTTAAATGTGGAGAAACGGTTTCTCTTTTACTTAAAGCCAGTGGGTTAGGACACGAGAGGCAGAGTGAGCAGTCCTGGTCCAGGAGAGCCGGAGGGGCGCGACCCTGGACAGCGGTGCTTCTCATGTCCACCACCCTGTGAGCCACGGCCAGTCCTGTGCAGTGCACGGCGAGGCAGGTGCACGGTGCTGGCTCTGGGGTGGCGTCGGGGTGGGTGAGTGACATGCCTGGGTTTCTGCCCCTGGTTACGGTGACCGCATTTTGAAGACTCCTGGTGGCGTCCCCAGAGGCCTGGCTTTGGGAAGCACCTCGCTGGCTCTGCCCCAGTGTGCCAGGCGTCCGTGTCCGCCCGTCGTCCCGCCCCATCTCCGTCTCCTACTGGCAGCAGCTTGCATCCTCGCACACCGTCCCAGGCGTTCGTCAGCGAGAGTCCATGTGCCTTGTCCTCCCTCGGCCGTGCGCGCCCCCTGCTGTCCGTCCACTGCTGTGACTGACGTGTTGAGGATGTGTCCGACTCACTGTGCTGCAGTTTCTTGGTGTTTAAATAAAGGAGGAAGTCACTGGCCTGTGTTTCTCTCTCTTTTATTTGAGAGGTAGAGTTATAGACAGTGAGAGGTAGAGATAGAGAAAGGTCTTTCTTCTGTTGGTTCACCCCCCAAATGGCTGCTATGGCCGGCGCTGTGCCGATCTGAAGCCAGGAGCCAGGTGCTTCCTCCTGGTTTCCCATGCGGGTGCAGGGCCCAAGCACTTGGGCCATCCTCCACTGCACTCCCGGGCCACAGCAGAGAGCTGGACTGGAAGAGGGGCAGCTGGGACTAGAACCCGGCGCCCATATGGGATGCTGGCGCTGCAGGTGGAGGATTAACCATGTGAGCCACGGCGCTGGCCCCCTGGCCTGTGTTTCTTTGTAGGGGCTTGGGGACCAGTCAGGACGCGCCCACGCCGTGCTCACCGCTGGCTCCGGTGCCCAGGGCCGGGATTCTCAGTGATAATCGAGTCGCCCCGAGCTCCCTGGCCAGCACCCTAAGCCTTCCCCCGAGGGCTCCACTCCTGACATCAAACTCCCGAAATTGCGGACCACGTGACGACAGTTTGCACGGAATTTGCGTATATTTTGCAAAGCTCACAGACTCGTCGAGAAGTGTTCCTGTGTGCAGTCGCCAGAGCAGCTTCCTGTGCCTGATGTCAGACTGGTGGGCCTCCAATCAGAAGTGAAAGCGGCCGTCTGAGCAGTGCCTAGGGCCACCGCGTCGCCGAAAGATCATTCCTGTGGCTCGCCTTGGCCTTGGAGCCGGCGGAGGAAAACAGCGATGAACGCTGTCCGTGGGAGTCTGAAGGCAGGCAGCCCACGCCTCCGGTCTCCCGGGAGCAGCTCCATGTGAGTGTGCTGTGCCCTGGGGGGGCGAGGAAGAGCCCACCCCAGAGGGGACCGTGCAGGAGACGAGAGGAAACCACAGGCCCCCGAGTGCGCGCCAGAGCCTGCGAATCCCAAAGACCCGCGTGCAAACGTGACTGAATCCCGGGTGCTGGCCCCGGGCGGGTTTCTGTGGATCTGCTTTGTTGTTAGAGGAAGCTGGTGCCAAAACGTTGGGATGTTTGGTTTCTGTGGTTCCCCAGAAGTGGCGCAGCTCATTTTAGGGTGGTCAGTCAGTGGGACCTGGGCTCCAGAGTCACAGTTTTGTACCTGTCTATTAGCCGGCTCGTCAGCCACCTGTGCTGCTATTCAAGGGAAGTCTTACAGTGCCAGCCTTTCTGATCAACGAGAGCCCCTGTGGGCTCACAGCAGGCGCTGTGGCTCAGCCGCTCAAGGTGCTGCCGGCGGCCTGCGTCCCACATTGCAGTGCCGCTTCCAGTCCGGCCACCCCGCTTCTGGTCCAGCTTCCTGGGAGGCAGCAGAGGACCCTGCCACCCACATGGGAGGCCCAGGTGGAGTCCTGGCCTGGCCCAGCTCTGGCTGTTGCGGGCATTTGAGGAGTGAATCAGTTGATGGAAGATCTCTCTTCTTGGTCTCTTCCTCTCTCTCTCTCTCTCACTCTCCCTTTCAAGTAAATAAATCTTTAAAAAAAAAAAAAAAAAAAAAAAAAAAAAAAAAAAAAGAGGCTAGCGCCGCGGCTCACTTGGATAATCTGGCGCTGGCACCCCGGGTTCTAGTCCCGGTTGGGGCGCCAGATTCTGTCCTGGTTGCTCCTCTTCCAGGCCAGCTCTCTGCTGTGGCCCGGGAGTGCAGTGGAGGATGGCCCAAGTGCTTGGGCCCTGCACCCTATGGGAGACCAGGAGAAGCACCTGGCTCCTGACTTCGGATTGGTGCAGTGCTGGCCGTAGTGGCCATCTGGGGAGTGAACCAATGGAAGGAAGACCTTTCTCTCTGTCTCTTTCTCTCACTAACTCTGCCTGTCAATGAAAAAAAAAAGGCTTGTGGGGAAATGGAAGTAGATAGTGTGGGGAGCAACTGGGAGCAACTCGGACTAGACTAAGTTACTGGAATTAAGACTTATTCTATGCATCTGCTCTCCCACAATATGGCGCTGAGAAGGGAGGAAACAGCTTCTACACAGCTGCCTCCAGTTCAACCAATAAACTGTAGGACCTACTCCTGATTGGAGGAGAGCAGCGTACTCGGCGTGTGGGTAGCAGAGTTGGGATTGGTGGAAGAGGACTATAAAGGAGGAGAGAGACAACATGCACCAGGAACATCTAAGGGGAACATCTATCTGAAGGAACACCTGTGCAGCCCCCGAGAGAGCCGGCCGGCGGTGTGCCGCTCCCCCGCGGAAGTGGGGAAAGTGGCAGGGGGTACTGCCCTTCCACGGAGGTGGAAGGGACGGTAGCCAACCCGGGAAGAACCAGCAGCAAACCCGGGGAGGGCCGAGCAGACAAAAGAACAGCGCAGGGTCCTGTGTTGTTCCTCCGCGAAGAGGGGGAGAGACATAATGGTGCCGTGACTCGGATATGAAGCCTAGGCAGGGTTTAGTGTCGTTCCCCCACGTCGTTCCCCCACGAAGACGGGGAGCGACAGATAGCAAAGCACTTTCCTTTTAAACAGAAAGACGCCCTGGTAAGACCAAGGTGCACATCGCCTTTGTGGCACGCGGGACATCCTGCATCACTTCTGTGCCGGTAGAGCAGTAAGGGGGCCGGCGCTCCCGTGGCCTGGGCCGACGGCTCCGTGGCCCACTTTATGCACTGTTCTAGTATGGGAGATGGTGCCACACAAGGCCACGGACGCTGGAACCCAATCCGGGTCTCCCGGGCGGGTTTTGATGGGATTGGCGGTGGAGGGAGCGTAGGGTGGGGTTCGCCTGGGCCCTGGCTGCTCTGCCCGACTGCTGGGTTCGCCTCTGTGCCACCCGTGGCCCCATGGCGGGCGGAAGCATGTGAGCGGGTGTCCTGCCAGACCTCTCTCTGCCGTCATCCGACTGCTCGTCCTCCCGTCTCCTCTCCTCTCCTTCTTCCCACCGGCTCTTGGCTGGTTGCTTTGCTCCCCGTGGGCCCCTTCCATGGCTGCTGCCGCTTCCATGATGCTCGCTCGCTCTCTCTTTCTCTCTCTCTCTCTTCTTCCTGCTCGTCTAGGAGCCCTGGATTCAGGCTCTGCAGGCCTCCTGTGGCTTCCGTGGGAGCCGGCAGAGCTGTGGCCGCACTGCCCTCGTCCTCCTTCCCACGCTTGTGTCTTTGTGCACACTCGTGTGCCAGCACACGCACACAGCGCTTCCAAAGCCAGTGTGGTACAGGTGAGTGCCCCTGCGTGAAGAGCCTAAGGTGGCTTCTCTTTGGTGACAGCAGGAGAGGCTGTCAGGCACCTGCCCAGGCAGGCTCCACATGGGTTCCCAGAGCCAGCTTCTCCCACGGCCTCAGACTCACGGCGGGTTGGGTTGTGCACCAGGTACTCTGCACACATGGGCGGGCTGCAGGCGCCCAGCCACCACGCCTGTTCACAGGGGCAGAAAATGCGTCTTGGAAGGCAAAGCGACTTCCGGGACGCCTCCCAGCCCGCCAGCGGCAGAGCTGCGTTCGCTCCCAGGAGTTCCCAACCATCACGCTGAGGCCCAGCCTGGTGCTGTGGGGGCCGAGGGGGGGGACAGGTGTTACGTCCAAGGCCTCCCGAGCTGTGCGTTTAGAACCCTGGAGGGCTCCCTGCAGCAAGACTGCCAGAGAAGCCACGTGGGGAGCATCCCACGTTCGCAGGGGGCGGAGCTCCGGATCCCAGAGGCCTGCAGGGAATCTGACAGCGTCACGGAGACAAAGGCCGGCAGCCACTGCCCACGCTGCCCTCAGAGCGCGCACTGAGTGACGCTCTCTCTGTGTTATTTAGAAAAATGCCTTTGGGGCCAGTGCTGTGGCACAGTAGGTTAAGCCACTTCTGAGCGCTGGCTCGTGCATGTCCCGGCTGCTCCACTTCCCATGCAGCTCCCTGCCAGTGCGCCTGGGAAAGCAGCAGAAGACGGCCCCAGTGCCAGACCCCTGCACCCACATGGGAGACCCCAGTGAAGCTCCTGTCCTGGCTTGGGCCTGGCCCAGCCCTGACCATCACAGCTGTTTGAGGAGTGAACCAGTGGTTGGATGGAAGGTGTGTGTGTGTGTGTGTGTGTGTGTGTGTGTGTGGCTGCCTCATTCTGTCACTCTGGCTTTCAAATAAGGAAAATAGATTTAAAAGAAGAGAAGAAAAGCAACCTTTGCATAATGAACACCTCGCTGGCTGATGTCCATTATCTGAGGCTGAGGGAGCCCTCACAGGAATCCAGGAGAAAACACAGCGTTTCCCTGGCGACGGTGAGCCCAGAGGGCACGGCCAGCGCCCATCCTCCCGGCACCAGGCTGCTGCCGCGCCCGCCCCTTCCCGGGGCTGTGCACTGGGTCAGAATGCCCACAGCGTTTATAACGTGGGACATGGGACAAGCACCGCCGTGGCTTCTGAGTGCTGTCCTCACCGCCTGATTGGATGCACCCCTGGGATGTGTCTGCCGGTGAGGCTGTGGGGGAGGGGAGGCTCAGGTGGGACCAGAGCAGCGAGGTCACACTCAGTCCCTGGCAGTTACAGCCCCCAGGCCCAGCCACACCCCCAGTCCTCTGCTGTACGCCCCCGGGAACAGCCCGGTAGATGGGGTGTGGAAGCACGCGCTTGTCCCTGTCACCGCGCAAGCTCCGGTGACTGCTCAGAGGTGGCGGAAAACGACCATTTGATGGCTTCACTCAGAGCGGGTGGAGCGGGTGAACACACGAATGCCTCATCCCAGGGAGCGGGCCAGGCCCGGGGAGGAGACCAGGTGTCCAGCCGAACGACAGTGGCTGGGGGACGCTGGGCGCGACCAGGAGTCCTGCTTGCCCGAGCCGGGCTGCCCACGCGGATCCTAGCCCATCCTCTCCTCCGGGGGTGGCACGGACCTCCGTTTCCAAGTTGCTCTCGGCTGTCACTCGTCACCCGCGTGTCTCACCCTCTGGCACAGATCCACGGTGTGAGCCTCGCATGTGGCAACCCAGAGCAGCCCGGCAACAATGGCGCCAAACAGCTCGGGGACAATGGCCACCTCTGTGAGCCCCCTGCGGGGCGTCCTCACGGAGAGAGCAAGCC